GGTAGTTACCGCCTTCCTTGCTTTCTTCACAGACACCATGTTTCTTGGTACACAATTGTTTGTCGTTGTAGTTACCAATACCATTAACATTTTATTATGTGCAGAGACTGCTGAAGAAGAGTTCAAGGAGGTTGTCAAATCTTATGAGGCGATAAAGCTGGAGAGGAAAAATAATGCAAGTTGATGCGTTTGTCTATTGGAGCTCCCAGTGAAGACTTGCGCCAGTTTGTTACAGCCCCGGTGTACGCAATTAGCAGGCCATGCCATCAGGTGGATGACGAACAAAAAATTTCTCTGGCTGTTGCGGCCTTGCGGTTCTGTAGCGCAATTTTATACATGAGTTTGTTGGTGGGAGCACACGTCCCTGATGTAGTAGAAGTAGGATATTGTCGACAAAGATACAAAAGATGTGTTTCTATAGCTAGTGACTTGACCATAAACTGGTTAAGGAGCCAACATTTTTGTTGCCACCTGAGGAATATGCATCCCAGTGCTGTACACCTGATGGTTGGTGTCTAATTGGGTGGAAACTGAACAACTGATTGAAAATAAAAGTTATTGGTACATAACAGTGTGTTTGTTGTAAAATTGTACTCCCTACGTTCATAAATATGAGATGTTTTGGATATTTCAATATGGACTACATACAAACTGAAATGAGTGAACAAACACACTAAATATGCCCATATACATCTGATTCAGAATAAAGTTATAGAACATCTTGTAGTATTTGTGAACGGAAGGAGTATATACTGAGGTTTTGTAGAAGGGGAGTTTGTATATGCAACTGAGTTGCTATGCAGCAACGACACATCATTTAGAGAACTTGTAATGCAGAAAATGCTGCGAGGTTCAGCTGATGCACTATTGGTTCAGTCTTGAAGGCGGCCCACTGATCATCAGCTCATCACGAAATGCAATCGTTGTGGTGTCCGTCACAAGCATCTTGACTGACATGCAGTTGTTCGTTTTCAAAGGCACACAGAACAGATCAGCAGAACCCCCGCTAGCCGTCCCACCACCGTGAGGATGCAGCGCCTCCTCCCCGCCACCCTCCGCCGGCGCCGCCTCTCCACCGACGCCGCCCCGGACCACGGCCTCGCCTCCTCCGCGGAGCTCGCGCACCGCCTGCTCCGCCGCCACGGCGCCGACCCGCAGAGGCTGGCCTCCGCGCTCTCCGCGTCGGGGCTGGACCCGGCCTCCCCGCGCCTCCTCGACGCCGTGCTCCGCCGCTGCGGCGCCGCCTCCTCCCTCGCGCTCGGCTACTTCCACTGGTGCTCCCCGTCGCTGCCCACGGCGCCGCTCCCCTCCTCCCTCGCACTCCTCGCCAAGTGCTTCTCCCGCGCCTCCGCCGCGCCCTGCCCCTCCCTCCTCGCGCCGCTCCCCTCCCACCTCCTCTCCGCCTCCATCCTCTCGCCCGTCCTCCGCCGCCTCCCGCCGCCGCGCGCCCTCCCCTTCGCGCTCTCGCTCCTCGCCTCCCGCCCCGACCACGACCACCCCTCCCTCTTCCTCTCTCTCCTCGAGTCGCTCTCCAAGACCGGCCACGTCGCCGCCGCCGAGCGGCTCGTCGAGGAGCTCCAGCCCCGGCTCCCGCTCGAGCTCCGCCACTACACCGCCTTGCTCTACGGCTGGTGCCGCCTGGGCAAGCTCGACGAGGCCAAGCACGTGCTCGCCCGCATGAAGGCCGCCGGGGTCGCCCCGGACGTCGTCGTCTTCAACACCCTGCTCGCGGGGTTCGTCGCCGACGGCAGGTTCGAGGACGCGTTCGAGCTCACAAGGGAGATGGAGCGGCGGGATTGCCCTCCCAACGCGGTGTCCTACACCACCCTCATGCAGGGGCTTGGGTCCAAGGGGAGGGTTGATGAGGTAATGCGGGTGTTTGTTGAAATGCGGAGGAAGGGATGCACGCCGGATTCTGTCACCTACGGTACTCTGGTCACTGCATTTTGCAAGGCAGGCAGGTTATCTCAGGGTTACGAGTTCTTGGACTCCATGTCGAGGGACGGGCTGCGGGTGGATCCTGCAGTGTACCTTGGGTTCTTTGTGGCGCATGAGAAGAAGGAGCAGCTGGAGGAGTGCTTGGAGTTGATGGAGAGGATGAGGGAGTGCAGGTGCCCCCCAGACCTCAATATCTACAATGTGGTGATTCGGCTGTCCTGTAAGCTCGGAGAGACGAAACAAGCCACGACATTGTGGAACGAGATGGAGAATAGCGGGCTTAGTCCTGGGGTCGACACCTTCGCAATCATGGTGACTGGGCTTGTTGGTCAGGGCTCGCTGGTCGACGCGTGCAGTTATTTCAAGGACATGGTCGGGAGAGGGCTATTTGTTGCACCACAGTACGGAGTGTTGAAGGACCTTCTCAATGCGCTAGTCAGGGATGAGAAACTTGAGCTTGCAAGGGATGTTTGGGGTTGCATTGCCAGCAGAGGCTGTGAACTAAATGTGAGTGCATGGACAATCTGGATCCATGCACTGTATGCGAAGAAACATGTGAAGGAGGCCTGCTCCTATTGCTTGGACATGCTCGAGGCAGGGCTGATGCCGCAGCCAGACACATTTGCAAAGCTAATGAAGGGACTGAAGAAACTGTACAACAGACAGATTGCTGCTGAAATCACTGAGAAGGTGAGGCTGATGGCGGAGGAGAGACATGTAAGCTTTAAAATGTATAAGAGGCGTGGGGTGAAGGATCTCGAAGAGAAGCCTAAGTCAAAGAGAAGGAAAGGGCAAAAGCGGAGTCGGGGGAGGCAGACCGTTCAAGATCAGCCTAGAGAACATGCTGACCTTTCGGATTCTGTCGATGATGAAGAATTCCCGAGTTGAATTAAACTAGGATCATAAATGGGCAATGAACTAGTGCACCTTCACTTGATTACATTGTTTGTGGGAGTGATTGGGTTATGAAGCAACCAATAAGGAAACATTGATCTTGCTGAAAATGGAGCAGGTTTGCAGTATTTCTATTGGCAACTGATATTGATACTTGAGCCAAGTGGCACTCTGGTCCTATCTGAAGTCCATTTGCCAGTGTGTACTTCAGTTTTCAAAACCTTTCAGGGGCTAATAATATTGGGTCCTTTCAGTGCCAGTGCAAAAGAAGATAACACCAATATACAACACTACTATGGCTGGAAGTGAGTCCAGCCTGTCTAAGCTTGGTTATGCCTGAACTAGCTTGTTGCAACTGGAAGATTTATCCAAACAAGCTTGAGCTGAGATTGAAGATGCCGGGGATAAATGCAACAGTTGCCATGCCAACTACACAAGTAACAAAACTCATCACTCCATCAGTTATGAAGTAGAGTTAGTAGTGTAACATCAAATGTTGAACTTTTTTTTTTCACTCTTCATGCTTATCTCTGATATACTAAGAGGAGTTACTTACCGACTTATTGTACGAATATACCTAAACCCACTTTAAAGTCTGATCTTGGTAATTGATACAGAATGGTTATGTTCACTGTGATTGAAGAGTTGATACCTTCCTGTATCCTAACTATTATCTGATCATGTATTAGTTGTGATATGCTTTTAAATTTATTATTGAAATATGTAAACTATGTAAATTCACAATTTTTTTACTCAGCAGTTGCTTATGTGGAAGTAAATATATTTAGTTCTAATTTGTCTATTACATGCTGGTGCTGCTATTAACATTTAATCAAGTTGAACCCCCTCAGTTCTATAACATTTCAATTTGCATGTGCTGTATTGATCTTTAACCAGTTGCACACTAAATCTTTTGAGCTTATCTACTTAAATGCATGCAATGCTCTGCAATATGCAGCAGCTATGCTTATGTGCACTTTTCATCAACTGGTGCTTGTGCTTTATCCTTTATGGTCGCAACTCGCATGCATGGAGAATTGGAGATGGATGGAACCTGGAGTGCAAGAATATTTAGTGTTTTTGCAAAATTATTCTCCATTCTAGTAAGCATATAATAACTTAAAATTGAGAAATATGATGCTTAATAGAAGTATAAACGGGTTGTTTCTTGATATGCTTAAAATTGAACATAGTTGCTAAGGCTGAAGTACTACCGATACATATAGAGATATCTCACCAAAATTAAACACTTGCGTGTTCCAGGTTTTAATTTCTGAATCAATCTTATGCTTCTAAAGCAGAGCTCGGTCCTTGTATCTAAACTAAACTAAATATAAAAACTAATAGTATCCGGAATCATCTCATAATGCCTGGGATTTAATGGCAACATCACGGATTAAATACTACTCCGTAGTCATAGCAATTCGGAGCAAGATAAGTGTACAGTACGCCCCTCAACTATTCCCCTAGTGTAGGTTCCGTCCCTTAACTTTTTTGGAGTGTGACCTTCACTGTCAACTGCCAATACCAGGTAATTTTCGTCACTGCCAGCAGTCAATCACGATCAAAAGTGATTATGTCCTTGGCACTTGCTTTCTCCATTGGCGCCTATCTTCCTACCGGTTGTGGTGAATTTTTCTGGCCTCCTTAAAAAGCTATGAAAACACTTGAACATACTCAGACTCTATAGATTGCCAACATTTTGTGTTGGTTGTATCAAGCTAGAGCTACCCTTTCACCACTACGATTACAGAACTGATGTTCAGAGTCCTGAATGGATTGCAAATTTGAACTATTATTTCCAATATGCAAAAATTACACATACACTTGAAATCTTATTTCTGCAGAATGGAGTGCAAAAAGATAGGGCATTTCAGCTGATTAAGAGTCGCCGTTGGTGGGCACGAAGCCATTGCCGAGGACACTGATATCTCAATATATTATGCTGGGTGATTGAATTGCAATGCCAAATCAAGAAGCGGAAGCAGATTTGAACCAACATTTCATTGCTAAGTGGGAGTTAGAGAAGAACACACGGACACAGGTACCAGAAAGCATTACAAGCATTTAGACATTCTGTTACTAGATTTAACTTGCTTCTTGCCCTGAACATGGGATAGCGAAATTAAACTAACTGCAGAGGAAACATTGCGAAGAATTCCTTATCCTCAAATTGGGAACTCCTCCTCAACTAACTGATCAACATCTACTCGACAGATTTCCTGAGTCACAAGTTCAGAATCCCAGACTTCAATGTTGTAGCTGGAGAGGAGCTGAACGGCGGTGAAAGGAGGGTCAGCATCCCACCGTACGAGGGGATCTGACCAACTTATGGCTTCAGAGACCATCTCTTCTGTCCCATCCTTGAGGTCATACTTGTAGACGTCAAAGAAGTAGACATCATCACCGTGTGGATTCATACCTATTAGGTGGTAGATGCAGTTGGCCTCAACAGATGGGAACTTGTCGGCATCAACAGCCAGGCACCTGTAGCAGTCGACGAAGATGGCGCGACGTCCGATGCTCTTCACGGGCTCGAGCACACCCCTGTCAGAGTCCATCCTGAAAACCTCCATGCGATGCCGCAGCTTGAAGACAACTAACACTTCTCCCAGAGATTGTACTAGGAAGCAGCGGCTGTTGTTTGCATGCCCAATCTCAGGAGCATCATCGGCAACACGCTCAATAACATCACGACAGAACATCTCGGACGGATCAACAGAGAACAGCCTCATCAGGTCAAAGATCTTATCGGCCACAGTAGCCGGCAGCGGGGGCACCGGTCTCTGCTCGCCGTCAGCATACATTCCGCCGGCGACAGCCAGCCGGATCAGCTGGTAAGCGTGTTCATCTTGGTACAAAGCAAAACTTGTACTGCCAGGGTCAGCCATGTATAGCGCATGATCCGAGTCGCAGAGCAAGATGAGGGTGGGGGGTGACCCGATGACAGCAGCAGCATCCACCATGTCGGAGGGCGCCTTCGCCATGAAATGGATCATGTGGCCTGTGAAAGGGTTGAGGACGCGAGCGGCGTTGTAGTCGTCGTAGTCCGCCAGCACGAAGAATCCACCGAGAGCGGTGGCGACGTGCCGGTAGCGGTAGCGGTAGCCGCCCAGCAGAGGGAGCCCCTTGCGGAGGAAGCGGCCGGTGTGGGTGTTCACCAGGAGGCGCGTGTCCTCTCTCCGGAAGACGTCGTCGTCGAGCACGACCCACTGCCGGGGGCGGAAGCGAGGGTCGTCCGGGCCGTCCTTGGGGTCGTCGGTGGCGGAGCGCCAGCTGCCGCAGACGGCGCGGAGGTCCATGTAGCAGTCCACGTCGTTGGCGGCGAGGAAGCAGTCGGCGACGCGGCGGACGAGGTCGCACGGGAGCGAGGACCAGTCCACGGCTGCCATGGCCAAGACTCCAGGATGAACCTGGAGTAGTTCAGGTTGGGAGGATTGAGGTTTTAGAGCTGCTTTGGTTACCTGGAGGATGGCTAGATGAGTGCACGCTTGGTGCATTTATCTATGCGTCGCTTGCGATGGTAGCGTCAGAACTGAAATGCTTTGGGACCTGAACGGGCGCCACTGACTCGAGTTCATGGGGAATGATCACGACGCTTCGTTTTACTCCAGTTTCCAAGGACAGGGGTTGTAGAACCCGACGTGTGCCCTCAGTGTAGAAAAGAAAAGAAAAAGGCTAGCCATACGAGAGCCGCATATTTTACATCATAGACGGAGGTTTTTTACATTTCAGTTCGAAGTTCCAAGTAGTAGAGGGCTTACTGGTATTTATCTCCTGGCAAGTATTGGATGCACTAGTGCAGAGGTTGAATCAGACTGTTCGTTTGCGGTGGAATCAATTCAGCTAATGGATGATTACATGGGGGCCGATAGTGCTATCGTTGCAGAGTGCAAGCAGCTATCCATCGATTTTACAAAGCTATCTTTTAAGCATTGTTTTAGATAGGCGAATCAGGTAGCAGATGAATTAGCAAAACAATGTTTGAGTTCCAAATCTTCTGGTTCTTGGGATGCTGTAGTCCCGGACTTTATTTCTCACCTACTTGTAAATGATATGACTATTATTTGAGGAATAAAGTTCTCATTATCAAAAAAAAAGTAGAGGGCTTACTGGAATTGGTCTATGGATTTCATGACAATTTTACAGGCGGTTAGTCCTTTGACGGAATACACCAGGTCATCATCCGATAGCCAAATACCAAGCTCAGGAGGTGCGCCATTCCCCATTCACAAATATGTTTGGGATCCAAAGGCAAGAAGTACATGACATATACATTCTACAAAGATCGATCTACCACCAGCAGACCATTCTAGCTCTAGCGCAACAGTGCGGCGACACAAGTCATCGTTTTCTCTTCCCACCTGCTGGTGCCTTCGGTGGCTTGGAGGCGATTGCCGAGCTCCACAAAGCTCTCTCAACATCCAAAGGCGTGAAGCTTTCTCCTCCTACGCTCAACTCCTTGAAGAGGAACACAAGTTGTCAGCCAAACAATTTTCAAGTTCTACAAGTAATATTTTGAAATCACGAGGTATAACGTGGAAATTAGCACAAAGGTAACAAATTGGGAACTATATCGATGGACATTGGCAAAGTGTAACAAATCTATGACCTGCAAGTATAACATGCTTCTTATCATCTTAGTAATTACTCCCTTTGTACCAAAATGCAAGACGTTTCTTGGTTTTGCATATGGCATAAAAAAGGTCTTATATTTTGTTACGGTGGGAGTATTAATTAGTCTATTGCCCTATTGTGTCATATGGAGCCTGTAAGTCTTGGACAGATATATATGCAACTAAAAACTTGAGATGTGATCTGGATATGCATCTCATGGAAAAGAAATAATAAGTCCAATATTTATTAATATATTTTGTGTTACTATTTGGGTCGCCGAATTGCAAACTGCTAGAATGTTCAACTCCAAACTGGAACTTCTCATAAAGCAGTATAATACACAAATATACATTTGTATGTTCAACTCCAAACTGCTAGCTAAGATTAACTCATAACAGAGCACATTGTGACAATCAGCTATTTTTAATGTAATTTTAGCTTGTCTAGATGGAGAGAAAGATCAAATATATTCGGCAGCATAGATTAACTGCATTTGCTGAAAGTTTTCAGTCTGGACTGGTGAATTAGAACTTTTAACCTATGGCCGAAATCAATTGATGATCGCCTTACAACACACAACAATAATACATCATACGCTTGCAGCTACCTGATTCAACTCAAGGCCACATTTTGCAGAACAGTTCAACCAACACAATCAAGCAAATCATGCTATCGTTGCAACATTTTAACAGATGTATCAAATGTAGGGCGACATTTATACCTTCGCTTTAGCCTGCAACTTCTCCGCAAACGCAAGGTACTGCTTCAGAGTGTATTCCTTTACATTGCCCAAGGCTGCGACCATAGCCTGAACACATTTCACTAAAGCTTCACCACAAAAGGTGTAACCATATCGCCTAGAAAGGCAGATACATTGAGGAAAAAAGAACATTTGAACAAGCTCACTTCGTCTGACATGAAGGGTGCAACATCGGGTGCATAGGCAGCGAGCACCGCAGATGCAGTGGCAGGGCCAACACCCTTGAGCACGGTGAGCTCGGTGATGGCCTTGCTGAGGTCAGGCAGCGCTGCAAATGCCTTGCGTGACGCTGACTCTACAACTTTGTCATCCAAGCTTTTGACGAAATCCATCAGCCTCGGCCTAGCAACAAGTGCAGAGTGAAGGTTGGATACTGTTGGCCAGCAAGCACGATACTACTCCCTCCGTTCCAAAATATTTGTTTTTCTAGGCATTTCAAATGGACACAACATACGGATGTATGTAAAGTTATTTTAGAGTGTAGATTCACTCATTTTGCCCGGTATGTAATCACTTGTTGAAATCTCTAGAAAGACAAATATTTAGGAACGGAGGGAGTACATACTAGCACACTGCCTAAATGGATCAAAGCAATAAACCAAGCAATTAAGATATTACTAGCTCTGGTTGTTTGTGGGGCTTAGCTGGAACCCAGGAAGAGCCGAATGAACTGTGCTTTCTTATCAGTTGAGCGCATATTTCTTTAAACCTGAACTGTTTACATTACTACGCACACATTTCATTCTGGATGCTAACAGCCTTTCGTGTCAGTACTAACACTAAACCGATATTCAGTATTGTCATCTGAGAGACTTTCAGCAGGAGGCACCACGCCCTAGCAAGGGGAAAACTTGGAATGCAGCTGCGCTAATGCTATGCAACCAACAGGGAAAAAACAAACTAGGAGCAGGAAGAGAGCCTGACCTCCACTTGCCGCGCGAGAGCTTCCACTGCATGAGCTGCACCAGCTCCGGCTTGGCGAGGTAGGGGTCCGGGTCGCGGCGGTGCAGCAGGAGGGGGAGGTCGTGGCGGTAGAAGGAGTCGGCGTCCAGGAGGTCGGGCTTGTCCAGCGCCGCGAGCCGGCGGTCGTACGCGCCCAGCGCCGCACGCCAGGCCTCCCCGTCGCCGCTCGCGAAGTCCACCGTCTCGGCCATCGCGACGGCGAGCGGCGGCGGCTGCAAGGGGAGAGGGGAGTGGAGCTGCCTGCAACTGCACGACGGTCAACGGTCTCTCTCACGAGAGGACTCACACTTGGGTCCATCTTTCTCTTTTGCGAGCAGCAATTTCGGCCGTCGATCTACCTCGGACGGCTTAGATAGCGCCAGTTCGCGAACTTGAGGGCCACGATCCGCGGGTCACATTCGTTGCCGGCGGCCCATGTGGCCCAGTATTTTCGCGGGCCATCCATTTTCCTCATAACTTCCAATGAAAAGGAACCTCCCTTAAACCCTAGCAGCAGCCGTTCGTTCGTTCCCCAGGAAGAAACCCATGGCGAAGAAGCAGAAGCAGCGCGGCTCGCTCCGGGGGGAGGAGCATGTAGCGGCGGCGGCGGCGCACGAGGACGCGCCGGCCGAGAACGCGGAGGAGGAGGCGGCTGCGCAGGAAGCAGGGGTCGCTGGAAGCGAGGTGGTGGAGGGGCGGAGCGCGGACGCTGCGAGTGGCGGCGTGGAGGAGGGGAAGGAGGAGGAGGCGGCGGCGGCCGCAGAGGAGGAGGAGGAGAGGGAGGTGACGTTTGATGAGCTGGGGCTGGACGAGCAGCTCAAGAGGGCCCTGAGGAAGAAGGGCTTGACCAAGACCACCCCGATCCAGCGAGAGGCCATCCCGCTCATCCTGGTGCGCGATTTCTGCCTTCCATCTTTACTAGTACAGTAGCTTTCATTGTCGCTCGTTTTGGTGGCGTTTAGTCAACAACTGGTTAAAAGTTAGTAAGCTCAGGAGCCAGAAATTTAGTAAGCTCTCATTGGAACAAGTTTTAGCCTGATAAATTAGCCAATTACAGTACTATTAGGATAGCCAGCCTGCTTGCTTTCTCTGGTGAATCTTGTGGGTTAGGCGCAGCGGCCTTCTGACACTTGTCAATGCAGACTGGACTGAATTAGAGTTGGGTTTAGTGAAGCTCTACTCATGATTGCGGTAGTCATTTTGTTCAAAATGCAACTGTTTGATTTGCCTGGTACTGAACGGCGGCCTAATGTTGTGATTCCAGGAAGGGAAGGATGTGGTCGCTAAGGCCAAGACCGGTTCTGGAAAGACCTTTGCCTACCTTCTCCCGCTGCTGCAAGAGCTGTTGAAGTTGTGCAAAGAAGGGCGTATCCGGAAATCTGCACCAAATGCCTTAATCCTGGTGCCAACTCGCGAGTTATGCCAGCAGGTACCCGACTTCTGTTTCTTCGCAAGATATTGTGTATGTGTATAGGCAGCTGCTGTAGAGTCGCTTATTGATTTATCTCTAGTTAATATTACGTCCTGATTCATGCACGATATTGTTCTTCTATTTGATGCTGGATGTAGTGAGATTTTTTTGCCAATTCTTTGAATGTTAGACCTGCTAATTAGTACTTCAATGATTCATATTACAACCTACTAGTGTATTGCGCAAATAAACTTCTACTCATGTTAAATATTATGATATGACTAGTCATTGCCAAATATCTCACTGTTGCTTTTTTCTTCTTCTTGCTGTAGGTTTATAATGAGGCATCATCTCTCCTTGAGTTGTGTACATCCAAGTTGAAGATTGTTCAAGTGACCGCGAGCATGTCAGATAAGGATATTGTGAGACATTTTTGTCTTGTTTGAGTTCGACCGTTATTTTCTCCAAGTAGTATCAATTTTGTAGGGTTATATTTATTGGCACAGCTAACTTGCTTGTGCTTCTTGTTACCTGCAGAAACTTGCATTGTCTGGGCCCCCTAATATTCTTGTGACAACCCCAGCTTGTGTTGCAGCATGTATATCAAAGGGCATTGTCCAGGGATCATCTATTAAAGAGTCACTTTCAATGATGATTCTTGATGAGGTGCAATTTGTTTGCCTGTTTCAGTATTTATGTATAGTCTTGGAAAGATTTTATCCCAACAAGGAATGAACAAGTTTCTTATGGGTTTGAAATATCAAATTATGTTCTCTTCCCATATACAAAAGCATAACATAGCTGTCGAAGTTGTGGATCTATATTATTTTGCAAAATGGTATTCAGTGGTGTTGAATTTTCAGCTTCAAGTTAAAAATTGTTTAATTGAGTCGTTTACAGTATTAGTGCCTATGCTGCCTGAATGATACTGTCATGTGCCACTGCAAATATGGGGATTTGATTTATGGTAATGCGGAATTGAGAACATTTTCTATGCCAGTACCCAGTGTTGCTGTTTAAACTATACCATGTTTTAGAGTGGCGTGTTTCAAATATCTACTGTCATGACTTTTAACATGCTTATATTGGCAAATATATGTTACATTAAAGTGTTGTGTATCAAATTTCATACACCTGTCGTGATGTATCAGAATGCCTGGGAAATGTCCTTTTGAAGAAGTTACTAATCTCTTAATGGTTAGCTCCCAGGCTGACCTCCTTCTGTCCTATCGCTGCGAAGATGACTTGAAGGCACTTGTCCCACATATCCCAAGAAGTTGCCAATCCATCCTGATGTCTGCAACTTCAAGGTGAAATTTGGTTCTTCTTGCTTCTTTTTTCTGCAGTTACTCAAAACATCTTAATTCCGCAGTCTGCACTAGTAACAGCTCTAAGCATCTCGCTAGCATTTGAATCAAGTGAATGGAGCTGGCACTTCAGTTTCTGGATATTTAGCTGTTCCCTGAGTTACCTTGCTGATTCTCTTACTGGATGGTTGCTGCTTAACATGGTTTTCGGTGTTCCATTTCTTGATGTGATTTTGCTAGTAGCTTAATATATCTTTCCTTTGCTACTTATAAAGGTTGGAGTTGGTGGTGAGTTCACATGTGGGACCGACATGACAAATAAACAAGTACATTTCTACTCACATGTGGGGCTAGCAACCTTCCAAGGGGTATAAATAAACAAATATACTTTTACTCACATGTCAGATCCAACGCAAATAAACAAACACACTTGTGAGCACAACATTCTTGTAAAACACACAACAAATGTACCTCAAAATCATGCTCTTGGTTTTAGTTTCTATTCTGAACCAATTCTTCCATTCCCATTCTCTTGTGTTTCAAAATTGGAAATGTCGTCTCATTTTAATCTTAAAAAGGACCTACTATGAATGCTTAAGATTCTCTAACAACTGCAGCACGATCTTTCGTTATATTTTTGCTCCTCTTTTTAACCGTCAACCATGCAACAGCCAAGTTGGTGGTCCCCTGTGGGCGACATAGAACATTGCAAACTAAAGTAGTTTCAATATAGTTAACCTTTACTTCTGTTTGGGGTTTGTATGATTTGTCTAATATCAAAATTTATTTGTTGCAGCCCTGATATCGACAAACTAACAAAGCTACTTCTGCACAACCCTTTTGTTTTAACTCTTACCGAGGTTGGTCATGCAAAGGATGACGTGGTCCCTAGAAATGTGCAACAATTTTGGGTAAGTATCTTCTGCTTTCCTTTCACATTACATCCATACGCTTGTTGATCTCATTGTTTGTACAATATCACTTTAGTAGACTCCAGCGGATATTGTATACTCCCTCTGTCCCAAAATAAGTGTCTCAACTTTGTACTAACTTAAGTACAATTTTGTACTAGAGTACAAGTTAGTATGGTTCCCTGTCCATAGCCCTTTTTTGGGACCATTCTTAAATAATGACTTTGTCTATTTACAGTTCTTGTGCTGATTTTCTGTAGCTTTAATGTTTTTGTTTCAATACCATAGATTAAGTTACTCCCAATCTTTTGCCCACAGATTTCATGCAGTGCTAAGGATAAGATGCTTTATATCCTTTCCCTTCTGAAGTTAGAGCTTATTCAAAAGAAAGTTCTAATATTTGTGAACTCAATTGACAATGCATTCAGATTAAGATTGTTCCTGGAAAAGGTAAATTGGTACTGCTATTTGCTTCTAGTAGTGATATGATTTGGATCTGTAACTTGTTATCCGCGCTGCTCTTTTCTTGCATAGTTTCATTTGATAAGAGTTATGGATTATCATCTGGCATTTGGACATAAATGAAACTTGAAAATTTAGATCAATTCTAGTCCAAAAATATTTAATGGGACAGTAATTGAACTGCTACCGTTTGGACATTGAGTATGTGAGCACCAACAGATGAATATGAATCTATCACTAAGGAGAAGTTCTGTCAAATCTGCAGCATGAAGTTCTGTCAAATCTTTTTTATTGCCATTTGAGAGATGTTATGGCATTCTTCTTAACAACTGTTCCTTCCAGGAGCATGCTCCCCACTTCATTCCTTTCGTAATAGAATACTTTGGTCCTTGCTAGTTTCTCTATTCCTGTTTCTATTTTTAGATATATATGGTTGTTTATAAATTAACTAACATTTGAGGAATATGCTGTACTTTTACAGTTTGCGATAAGATCTGCAGTGTTGAATGCTGAGTTGCCACAAAATTCTCGCCTACATATTATTGAGGTAGTGCTTCTCTAGAGCCTGCCTTTTGTGTGTGTGTGTGTGTGTGTGTGTGTAGATAATTGATCTTAAATTGTATTATCTTGTGTTCCCATGTTTTATCTTGTAATGAATGATATTAGTTTTCTTCCCTCCAATTGTTTACCAGTTAAGCTAATTAACTTTCTTGGGTTTCAGTAGATTGCTAATCAACATTTTTTACGAGGAGGCAGGCTTCATTTTATCCATACGTGTCAGAGGATTTCTAACAGTGTCGAAAATTATAAAGGGTGCTTACTGCCTTGTAAATAGGAAAAGGACAGAACCAGTGCATAGAAGCTCCCACACAAGGTGGGGTCTGGGGAGGGATTATAGGAACCTAGTCTTGCCCCTGCAAAGTGCAATGCAGAGAGGCTGGTTCGAACCCAGGACCTCTTGGCACAAGTGTGAGGACTTCACCACTGCGCCAGGCCTGCCCTCGCTTACTGCCTTGTAAATGTTTTATATAAAAAAATATATATATACCCTTTGAATTTGGTATTGTGTCTACTTAGCATCTGCAACTAGAAAACTAGATATGCACCCCTTAAAACTCTAGTGTTGGTGTTTGTCCATGATGAGGGTGATGTAACCTGATTATACCTTTAGGTGCTGGCACATGGCGTGCAATTAGATCATTGCTGTTTATATCTGTTTCTATGTATTGCTAAGCCTTTATGCTGTCCGAAGTAAAATGATACAGAAGGCTGTCAGTAAAACTTTGATACGTGACTCGTGTGATTTCCCTGATAAGCTTAGATTGCTAGCTTTCAGTTAGAAGGTGGTTCTGAAATATGGGAACTCATTTAAGTAACTTTTTCTTTCTTTTAGGCTTTCAATGCTAGGCTATTCGATTACCTGATAGCAACAGATGACAATAAAACAAAGGAGGCGAAGCAAACCAACAAGGAAAGCAAAAAAGATTCAAAGGGGTCACGCAAACATTTGCAACAAACTTTAGATGCTGAATTCGGAGTCGTCAGAGGAATTGACTTCAAAAACGTTTTCACAGTAAGTATATCTTGGTCTACTCAAGCATATTGCCGAATTCAACCATGATGATTAGCGCTACCTAATTGGTTTTTATATGCTGTAAATACAAGTAAGACTAGTTGAACATATATGTAAATAACTGGTGGGCAGACTATCTGCTTTGTTTTAAGTGCACCAATATTTACTTTGGACCTGGTGGCAGCATCAGTGTAAACTTTGAATTCACCCAGCAACTAGTGCTCATTTTTTTTCTTTGGGGGAACTAGTGCCCAGTTTGATGTAACGAGGGACAACCAACAAATGTTCTCTCTTTAAAATAAAAGAAATAAGGATTTATTCAGCTTTTTGTGGTCAGCTTCACCAATGATTCTCTTTGCGAAGCTATATTTCACCTTTCTCTGGCTTATCTGCTAAACAAAAATAGAATATGTTTTAAGAAATCAATTTCCCAATATGCATTCGATTACGTGAGGAAGTTGAGTATAGTTGACATCTTCTGTATGTTCTTACAAGTTCGCGGTAAAGTCGTTCCTGTTATATAGTTCAATCTTGTAATTTCTGTAATAGGTTGCAGGACTGATCTTTTGCTCTAACCCTTCTTTAGGTAGTTAATTTTGACATGCCCCCGTATCCTGCTGGGTATATTCACAGAATAGGACGAACAGGGAGGGCAAATAAAACCGGTGCATCTATATCACTTGTAAGTTCCGTTTTTACATGGTTCAGTTCAGTCACATATATTATTGTCAGAAATTGCTAACATGCTTAGTAGACCCTGTGTGTTTGGTTATTTATTTCCTCTTCTTTTCATACTCTATTTGCAGGTTTCACCAGAGGAGGATTATGTTTTCGAAGAGATTGAACACATGTTGCAAGATGTTGAAAAAAAGGATACCAACTGCATTTTACCTTTCCCATTACTCACAAAAAATGCTGTCGAGTCCCTACGATATAGGGCTCAGGTACGGAGTGTATTTATCTTGAATGATCTGTACTTGATTTCTCCCAAATATATTCTTAATTGCTATACCTTGTAGTGCTAGAGTAATGTAAGTAGTGGTGCTAATAGTATGTGACTAGGGTAAGTTAGTCTCTCACAAGGTTTGCCAAAACAACCAATTAACCAGCTGATTGACCGGAACAGTGTAAATTCCCTTTTTATCCTTGGCAGGCTCATTAGCTCATAGCCATAAATGTACCTCTTTAGTAATACGTTCTTGCTGTGAAGATGTAGTATTATCATTACTTGTATTATGAACATTGAAATTTGGAAAGCTCGAAGCTGAGAATCGCAAACCAACGATCTGAGGGTTTGCTAAACGCTCGTTATGCATGGTTGCATGGACCTTTGGTCTCTACTCGATTTATTTATTAACTGTGATGAAAGGCTGAAAGTTAATTTGGTAATCACCCATCCTCCTATTCAGCTGCTGGCCGCCATGGATTTGTTGCAATTTATTTCCCTTATATTGCAACTAGTTGGATTTAGATACAAATCTCTCTTGCCCTATAAAGATACTGGGCTTGTAGGGTACTGATATCCCATTAAATATGAAAGATAACCCAGGTACCTCTAGTTTACCTGTCTTGGCCATATCCTGGTAAGGAAGTCTGTTTGTTTAGTAATGCAATGCCTTCTGTGGCTCTTACCTGTTAGATATGTTTTGTTAGCCAAGCTGTTTGGCAACAACAGTGTGGCTATTATTAAAACCATTTTGGTTTTATCTGTTCTGAACTGCTCTTGGTGCTAATTTTACATGTGTCCCATTCTGTTAACTTCTTTTAGCCACTCGCTTTCAACAGATAATGTTACTGAAATGTGTTCTATGTGCAATAACACTGATTTTGGTAGCTAATGTCAATTGATATTCCTTTTGCAGGATGTTGCTAGGAGTGTGACAAGCCGTGATATACAGGAAGCGCGTCGTCAAGACGTAAAGAATGAAATCCTCAATTCTGAGAAGTAAGAAAGTCCTTGTCCGTCAAGGAAATAGCCAAGTATTAGCAAAATGCACATTACATGATAATGAAATCACATAGGGAAAGGGAAATGCAGAAGTGCAGTCTTCCTTCCAGATTTTCTGAAAACGACATCCTAATATATTATTAGTTGCTCCATATCATTATCACTAGAGTCGACATGGATATATTTTATATTTTACTTTTTAGTATTGTAGTTCTTGACATATTTTGTTATAAACTAGTCAAACCTAGACAAGGTTTGACTTTTTGGAAAAACTAATACACCTTATATTTAGGAATGGAGGGAGTATCATGCACCAGCTATGTTCATGATACTATAAGGCATCAATATATAGTATTCACAATTCTTAATATTTCATGAAGAGAAACACCTTCATCCCCGTAGTCATTCTGCCTGTATTCCCTTCTAAACAGCAATGCCTTTGCTTCCTTGTAGGTTGAAAGCTCATTTTGAAGAGAATCCAACAGACCTCGGTTAGATATATCAATCTTCCCCAATCTTGTTCAGAAGAGCTGTGTTGGTATTTAAATCTTACAAGTGAATGATATGCTTAATCTTTCTACTCTTTTCAGATTTGCTCAAACATGATAAGTTGCTTACCAACAAATCAATTCCTGCTCACCTTCGGGATGTCCCTGAATACCTAATTGACCCCACAACGAAAGAAGCCAGCAATGCAGTCAAACTTTCGAGGGCTGCTATGGGTCTTGATAATCCCCGAAGGAAGAAAAGAATGGGATTCAGGAGTGGGTCAGGCAAAAGTAGCGATCCCCTCAGAACGTTCTCTGCCGAGGTACATTTATCCGTTCAATGGCCAAAACATTTTAGATTGAAAGACCACTGCAACTTGCAATGTCCTTGATACATTACGGTTCCGATCATACATGCATTCCTTACTGCTGAACTAGTCTCATTTTCAGTTGCTACATTTGTTGATTGATAACGAGATATCTCAACTGCATAGTTTACCAGATCCTATCTTTAATATTGATATGCTCCTGCACTATGCTTTGATGTATTCTGATTTTTCTTGGTTACTTGCAGGGCAAATCACGAAAACGAAGGGGAAAGGAAAGAGAAGGAGATGATAGAAGAAAGAGGAGGAAGAAGGCAGAAATCTAATGCTGCAAACAGTTCACTATCAATTTTGCTCGGTTTTATAGACTCATTGCCTTGTAACTTTGTAGCATCTCTAGAACGAAGACAAAGCTTAATGTGCAACATTGTACGTCAAATATTTTTTGGGAGTTTATGTTCTTTTGTCTAGGTATATTTTCTTTGGATGTTGCTAGTATCACACACTTCCTCTTCAATCCTCGTACGTATGAACCATTACCTGGAGTATTTCAAGAACAAAACCGAACAAGGAGTTATAATCAATCATTCTCTCCATCAATTCAGCTCACAGCTAAGCCACACTAGTTTCGCAACCAGTTCTGAACAGGTAGGAGATCACTTTCCAGTGGGAGATCAGTCAGTAGCATATAGGTGTATGGTGATTTTCTGATGGACGCTTCATGCGCAGGCACCACAAGTTCAAAAGGTACTCACAAGGTCACAAGGATTTCACCCTTAATATTTTTTTTAATCTTCAACATATTGTAGACACATTGAAAACCACATCAATCTCTTGCTCTTGCTCAAGAGATTATACAAATGCTCTTGACTGATGGCACTTTTTGTTCCTCAAACTTTCACTTACGGCATAATGAGTTTAAAGTGGAGGAACCATAAAATGTACAGAAAAGTCTGCTCTTGAATATCTCGTTGATAATGCATGATTTCATGGAACTCTGAAACTCTTGACAAAAGTCACTTCACTACTTACGGCAATACTACTAATAAGCCAGTCTACTTAGTACGCTTAGGGCATCCACAATTGATCCCAAAAGCTTGTACTTAATGAATAACACAGGGTTCCTGCTTTCGACAAGCTAACGCAATAGAAATTTACGGTGGAATCAGCAGTTCTTGAGCCCAGCTGTACACGAGATCCTTCGATGCCATACCATAAACCATACGCTACGGGGTCGGGCAGCAAGGGGAGGAAACCGGTAACTAATGGTTAGGCATCCAGCTATACAAAACTTGATTCTGCAAGCGCTTTACGGTTCACAGAACAACTCCAGAGTCATACCAGCAACTCACTGTTCAATCTTCATGGGACCTGCAGAGTACAAGAGGAACATTTCTGTAAGTTTGATATACAATCACTATGATTAGGAAGCATGGCATTTTGAAAAGAGGGCATTGCATATACCAGCATTGTTGGTGCTGCTGTCCGCAGCCACAGCGGGGTTGAAGTTCATATGAGGAATGTTCTGAAGAGTCTCCCACATCTCAGGCATCTGGATTCGGGGTTCAGGTAAGTCCATTGCTATGGCTTCAGATGCTATATGTGATTGGCATGTATCAAAAATGGACTGAATTTACCTGGTTCATCATGGAGATGTCGTGAATTGTTCCGTGCAGAGCACCCGCTGGATTGGAAGCATTGCACATCATGTCTGGATGCATCATTCCTTGGTTGAAATGAGCAATGAGGGCGCTTGATCCTGGGTCAGCTCCATAGAAACCAAGGCGCCTGTCCTGAGAAAGCATCACCTACAAACAAGAATTGCGTTGAGCGGGCGGGTCTAGAAATCTTTGAAAATATTTAGGATGGTTGTACGGTGAATTTACTTGTTTGGATAGAATCTGCTCAATATCAAAGCCAAGCTCAGGGTTCACAGTTGCAAGTTTCATTGACAAGAACTGCAAGTTTGAAGTGGCATTAGAGCACATGATGATATTCCAACAAACGGCATAAATACTCGGAAATAACCCAATAACATCTGGACTAATAGACAAGCAGCAGCATGATATTCCAGGATGTACCTCAACTTGTCGTTGTAATGACTGCACGTAATTGATTATCTCATCAAGCATGACGGCCTTGCCAGTAATCTGTGAGAAGGAACATTGGTAAGGCGCGGAGTACAAGTTGGTCGCAGAGAAGTTCTTGCTCCACAAAGAAAAAAGTTACCTTATTACACCCTGGAACAAGATCCTGAAGAAGCTTCATTCTCTCACTTATCTTTTTCCTCCTCAGCTGCAAAGAGTTTCATCCAACTTCAAGCATGAGAACAGGAAGAACATAAAGTAAACTGAAATGGGATCTTGATGGTGCTAATCAGAAGCTTACTCTTTCCGCAAGGCTGTGGCTGTTAGTGGCTTGGCCTCGCTTTGCCCGGAAATGAACATAATTTTCTCTAGTGCCATCACCATCCGAAGAATCTTCCTTGCTTTGCGTTTTGGGCGAGATCTTCCTGTTGTCCCTCTCCGCCGAATTCCTTTCTGGCTGAGACGAAACCTCTGTTTGTTGATCACCCACATTCTAAACCCACAAATACAATACAGTTAGTCACCACATCTAGATTAGAACAAGAAGATGAGAGCATAACGAAAGCTCATTTGCACCTTGCTACTGGCTGATGGGTTTAGCAACGCAATGCAGTCATCTGTTCCCTTCCTTTTCTTCATGCCACCACTATGCTCATCACTCATCTGGATGTTTTGGGAGAATGTACCTGCAAGAATTATCGACGTTTCCATCAACTACAGAATTGTCACCTTCAAAAGTATTGCGACAACTGCATGATAAGAACTAGTACTAACCAGCAGAAGATCTGTACATACCTGGTCTTTCTTCTAACTCCATGCCGTAAGCTTGAAACCCATACGCCGCGCTGTCGTACCCCATCTTTTGATGCATTGCTACAGAGCCCCAATTCCCCTCCAAGAATTCTTTGCCACTGTTTGCAGCAGGACCTTGATCAGATTGCTGGCCTGAATACATGTCCAACAGTCTAAAGACAACAAGAGCTCCTCCTTAGTTCCCTGTTGAGGATAGAAGACAAGGGGGAGAAGGCACATTAGCACTACCACTAGAGTGTCCCAACAGAGCACAGAAAGACAAATGCAGCTTGAACAGAGAGTGAAATTTCATAAAGTCTGCAAAACCCTTTTGCATCAAATGAACAACTCAACTGGTAATCCTCAACACAGAGGTGAAAAGCAACCGGTCCCTTGAAGAACCACCGGCACTATCCCTATCAATCAACGGACAAAAGAAAGCCGGAAGAAGGGATCCACCGTCCATGCAAAGGCCTGCTGCAGAACAACCTTGGGGAACAAACCAAATCTGCTGCACGCAGCCCAGGTTCCAGAAAGTGGGGCTTTAAACCCAGAGCAGAGCACAAAGGGAGAGGAGGAGGAGACACAGAGGATATAACCCCATCATTAGCAAAACAACATTCACTAACTTGGGCCCTTTGGAGCAAAGTCATGAGGATGTGGGTGTCTGCTCCTCCTAAAAGACTCGAAAACACCAAAGCTAATTGGAAACAGCAAAAGCCTAACCAATCTTCAAGAACTAGGCATGGAGAACATTACCAAGCATATGAAGCTTTAAAAGAACAGATACTAGTTTGGAAAGATAAAAAGAAGATGTTTCATGATGAAGAACTTCCCACACAAGTTAGGAACTGACCAACAGTACTTTTTGGCTGGGTGTGGCTTGGCACTAGCATCCAGGAAGATCAAAATAGCAGCACCTTGCATCTAATTAAAACTACCTACTTCGATGAACAAAAAGTAAAAAATCACAGCATTCCCAGGAGGAGGACACCACAAGACGAACCCACCTTCTCAGAGGATTTGATCGTCCCACAAAGTTTTCATCATCTAGGAAAGCGCAAGTAGGAAGGAGTCCCAACTCCCAAGTCGAAAAACCGAACGGAAGAGGCGAGGCTATTTGAATGCAATAGATAGATAGATGGATAGCTGGAGTAGGATCTGCGGGGAAATAACTAGGGCAGCGTTGAAGCCCTCCGAGACGGGGAGGAAGGAAAGCAACAAGCTTTGACCGCTCCGCCATGCCATGTATGGGGCGGCGTAAAGATCTTGAAAGGAACACATACTAAGATGTCCGGGCCGGTAAAAAAACTGGCTGGAAATTACCTGGACCCGGCGCCACCACACCAGCCCTCCTGGAGGCCATCAATCAATCCCCCCTGCCTGCGAACGGGAGAGCGGGAGGGAAATGCTGCTGGAACGATTCAAGAACGCGAGAGCGGCCTCATGATCTCTCTCTTCTTGAAAAAATTCGCGGTTTCTTCTCCTTGGCGCCGCGCCGGAGCTATGGATGGATCGCAATTTGACCGCGGGGTAAGAGGGGTGAAAGATTTGAAGGGCAGGGGAGGAAGAAGAGGGGGCTGCGCTGCTTGATAATAATAGGCGGTGTTTGTTACCCCCGCCTGCCTGCCGCCGAGGTGAAATGATTCCTTCTCGCTCTGCTCTGTTCTCTCTCTGGCAAAGGGCTGCTGGGTTGTTAACCACTTCAACTGCCCCCCTCCCCCTTCCCTCCTCCCTCCTTCCAACGTTTCTGAAACCTTGGCGTATGCAAACAGCTAATGAAAAGTAACCGCAGAGAGACTGGGGGTCGTACCAGGAGTACTAGTAGTTTACTGCTGGCCTCTGCTGCTTTGGTGTGCAGGAAGATTAGCTAGCTAGCTGCAGCTGTAGCGAGGGAAGGAGAAAATAAAGCTGGGAGGGGAGTAAAAAAATGGGACGCTGTTCTTCTAATCTCACCTGCCCGGCCTTGGGCGCCCCTCAATGCCATGTGGGCCCCAGCTCCTAACTACTACTGTGGGGGTAAGTTTTGAGAGGAGGAAAGAACAAGGGGTGCACCTACTGGCTACTGTACAGTTATTCCTCATTGATGGTTTATGTGACGCTGCTGAGCCAGCTGCGCTGCACTGCAGGTTTGAAATGGAACAAGGTTCCTCTTTGACCAAACAGCAACTCAGCAAGGGTAAAATGCCTATTAGAAAATATTTTTACATATGCAGCAGTGATATTTTCTGTTTAGACATGAGTTGGTTTTGTTCTTACACACTTGGTGATTAATATGTTTTTAAAAATGGCTCGGGGAGTAATTTGTTGGGTGAAGCAAGCAGCATTTGTACTTGGTAGAGTAGTAAATTATGAATGCTTTGGTTACAAGTGTGGGGGAGGGAGGGGAGGGGAAGGTACTTCTCTTGCACACCAAGCTTTGAATGAGGGCAGGGAGATCTCTTTCCAACTGACACGCAGTACTGCCACCTATTTGCACACTTGGCCTTTTTTCTCCCCTGCCAGCCCACCCACAGCCACCCCACCACCACTGTACTCCTACTACTCTCTCTCTCTCTCTCTCTCTCTCTCTACAAAGAAAAATAAGAAGTGTGGAATATGTAAGCAAAAACACAAGGAATCTTGTAATCTTTTCACCTTCTTGTCCTCTCTACAGTCTGAAATGCATGCAGTACTACCAGCTGGGTTTGTGGGGATATGGTCAAAGCCAGCACTGTGAGCCATCATCCTGCCACCGCTTGCTTAGGTGTCATATCCCATATCTTTCTTTTTCCTTTCTTCATTCATAGAACCAGCAGAAAACAAACAAAAAATTACTGACTTGTTCTTGGAGTATATTATCCTAACCTAGACGCCTACCAAATTTGCACGTCCCAATAAGAGAATCCGGCTGGGGCTTGTATCACATGTCGGTGTGGTTGGTTGGTTGGTTACATGCTGTTAATGATAATGGTTCGGCCCCAGTTGTTGCCTGTTTTAATATAGGAACATTAGCTGTTCCTGTTCCTCGGCTGCTCTTGCACACAGAGAGAGAGAGAGAGAGATGTGTGTGTAGTGTTCGTTGGATTTTGAGTGGGAGTGTGTCCTTGACATGACCCCAGGAAGTGATCATTCAACTGAAATAGTGTGTCTAATCCAACCTTTTCTTATGATGAAGATCTGGGAGCAGGAGGAGTAGTCATAGTCTACTTCACGCGCACCAAGTGTGCTACTGTGCTAGGTCTAGTGACATCACGCTCGTGTACTAGGTGGACCCGACGCCGTCTGTTCTTAAACCATTTTATGTCCATGGTGGACAATGCTACTACTTGATAGTACCACACATTTTGTCATCTACAATAGTATCACACTTGTCTAAGAGCAAATCCAACGCGCAGACTCAAACGGACGACGTTTTTATCCGTTTGGGTCAGCCTTCCGCTCGTCGTCCGCCCTGTTTTTCTTTTGAGTCAACAGTGCGCCCAACGGCCGCGGCCCATTTCACGTCCGCGCACAAATTTGAAAAAGGCCCGTGGCCATAGATCATGTCAGCGGACATGCCGTCGCCATGCTAGCTTTAAGAAACACCACAAAGTTCATGTTGGTGTACTTGCCAGCGGCCGGCACACATGCCAGCACAAAAAAGAGGTGGGAGTTGAGTTCGACCACGCCATCACGGCCGTGGCCATGCCAGCACACTTGCCGGCATACAAAAAAGGATGACGCTCGCCGCCATAGATCACTCGTCGTCGAACTTGAGCATGTCGGCCTGCATCTTCTCGAACCACTGGCTCTTCCTTTGCGACACGATGTTGAGATCCACCTTCACGATCTCCTCCCCCCGTCATCATGCTAGCGAGAGCCACCTCTTTTGTCTTGGACTTTGCATTGGCGGCCTCGATCTCTAGCATCTTGGCTTGCTTCTCTGCCTCCATGTCAAGCATCCTCGTTTGCTTCTCCGTCTCCATCTCAAGCATCCTCGTTTGCTTCTACGTCTCCATCTCAAGCCTTCTCCTTTGGATCTCCATGAATGCATTCATTTGCTTTTCCTTGTCTTGCCGGCGCTTCTCCTCCTTTGAGTCCTTCTTGGTCTTCATGCCATCCACGGTTGCGATCAAGGCGATCGACGCCGCATCCCGCTTGTCCTCCTTCTTGGAGTTGGATCTTCCCCTGCGGTCGTGCCTTCTCTCCCTCCTCAACCTCCTTCTCGGCTTTCTTCCCCCCACGCACCATGAGGGCGGCAAATTGCGGCTTGAACTTCTCCTCGTCTTTGATGACCCTCCAACAATGGGAGAGGTTGAAGGACTTGCCTTCGTGTTGCACCTTGAATGCCTTCAAAGATTGGAATGCCTGCAAATGAATTGCATGCAAGCATATTGCCAAATGGATATGGAAATGGGCATGCAAGCATAAACGGAATGACACAAAGAGGGGCGCTTGCTTGCATACCATGTCTTGCCGATGCCACTCATGGGGGCGTGCCTTGATGCTCACAAGAGTGGCAAAAAACTTGTTGCACTCTTGTTGGATTAGCTTCCATCGCTTCGAAGTGGACACCCACCCGCGTGCGCTTTGCATTTGGTACTGCGGAAACTTCTTGCGTTGATGGAACTCGCGATGGACACAAGTCCAAAAGGTTGATGCCTTTTGTTCTGCGCCTGTCTTGGGGTCTTGCCCAATGTCCCTTCAACACTCACAAAGGAGCTTGTCCTCGACCGCCGTGTATGCCTTCGTCCGCCAGCTCTTGCGCTTCGGTTTCACCCCGACGGTTTGGTTGGCGAGCTCGTCCTCGAACAAAGGCTCCTCGTCGATGTCCAACTCATCCTCTTCCTTGAGGTCGTAGTCCTACGGAAACTCGTGGTCGAGCGGGAAGCCGTCCAGGTCCAGGCCGACCTGATCTTGCATGAAGGCGGCTTGCATGCCAGCTTGTTCGAAGGTCGATGGCGTGAACGGCCCTCGGCCGTCCTGGCTTTGTGTCTCATCGGGATCGTAGCCAGCCGCGGTGGCACCTCTAGCGGCCGCCGTACCACCCTCGAAGATGATGTTCTGCATGAAATAATCGTCGCCAGCCGCCGGCATTCTGTCGAACAGGTTGTGAGCGCAGGGGAGCATGTCGGCTGGCATCTCCCGCGGGCGTTTCCTCGCCCCACCGGATGACGAGCCACCGGCTACCGGTGTGGCGTTGAGGTTGATGGGCGCAGGCGCGGACGTGGAAGGCGCCACCATGCTCACCTCTAGTGAGCATTTCCCGGAGAGGCGGGAGGCTTGCGGGTAGACGTGGAAGCCGGTAATCGGGTGAGTTGTCGATGCGCAGGGCGACTCTGGCAGCACCATCCGAGGAAACGCAGACGAGCCGCTGCTGGCCGCGGCTACGGCGGTGTTGATGAGCCCGTGCTGGCCAGGGTTTAACCCTAGGTACAACAGCGCCTCCCTCGTTGTCGTCGCGACGCGAGCGTTGGTGTCCTCCTGCTGCGCGGCGGCGACGATGGCGGCCGCGGCCACTACTTCATCCCTTTGCGTCCACCGCGTGCCTCCGACCCTTTCTCTTCAACGACTCCCTGCCCGCTGCTCGGGCGTCAACTTCTTCTTCGGCTTGGGCGCGGTGGCGGTCTTGCGGGGGGCGCGAGGCTTGCCTTTGCTAGAGGGGCGGCCGTGATGCCGGACGAGGCAAGGGAGGCGAGCCAGCAACGACATCGAGGTCGTCGTCCATGGCGAGCAGCGGGAGCGCGTGTAGGCGGGAGGGTTTTTGGGGAAAGTGGTGGAGGCTGCCACCGACTGGTGAGCCAGGGGGAGTAGTTGGCGTGCGTCCGTCTCGTGTCCGCACCGACGCAAATGAGGCTAAAAAATGGGTCGAGAATTGGTCGGCAGGTGGACGAAAAACGGACGCTCGTCCGTTTGGGTCGGCGTGTTTGGCCGACTTTTCTGTCCGCCGCGGCCGAGACGGATGTACGCGGACGAAATTGGTCGCCGCGTTGGAGTTGCTCTAAGAGCATGTACAATGGTGGCATATGGACACAGATGCCCCATGAAAAAAACTAGTTTGAGGCATCTATGTTTATTTTTTCTCCCCAATGCAAGCTACCACTAGTGGGGCTCATTAAGACTAGTACACATGCATCTCTACTTTTCACTCCAACCTTTTCAGCTTTTGACACCGGACCATACTTTTTCTCTCCAAGCACCCACCTCCTGCAGAGGATCTTAATTCCCTATCTGAACCTACTTTACCTGATTTCCGATCCTACATGGCATGTGAGGCATCACCCTGAGGCTATACATTGTACATGCCCTAATTTAGCCTCGATAATCCATGGATATTAGGCAAATTTGGTTGGACAACATGGTCGCCCATCTTAGAGCATCTACAGCTGGGCGCCTCAAAGGATC